CGGGGTTACCATACCATTTTCACCCATTAAAAAAAAACATACAGACAGATGAAAATTATAAAACTCTTACTAAGACCCCTCGTATTCCTTTTTGTTACATATCTCCTATGTACAGATATCGTTCGACATATCGATGGACATCATCATCATCAGTCGTTATCTGTCTACTGTTGATTGACACAATAGTGTCTGAAATACAACACAAGAAACATTCTTTAAATTTTAAATAACTTAATATACTATTAAGTAAAAAATAATACACGTGGAAACTGAAATAGAAATATTAGACCTAGACTGGTCCTGGATTCTAGGTCTCATCAAAGAAGCTTATATGCTATAGAATGGTACGGACTCACTTTGACTGCAAACTCAGGATGCACACTCAGGATACACCAGATTTCAGAAGAAGGTCATGTGAATATAATAAATATCGATAGAATTTACCGTATATATATATATATATATATATATATATATATATATATATATATATATATATATATATATATATATATATATATATATGCATACATATATATATATATATATATATATATATATAGTTATATTATATAATTTAATTGGTTTTGCAACATTTTTTTTGGTGCAACACGATTTTAAATTATTATTATTGTTAAGAATTCAACGAATGTTATAATAGTTACGTATTTTCTAATTGCGATATCACAGTTAACAAAGTACCTAATTTCGGAATGAAGGCAGCGTAGTCGTTGCCGCCAATTTATTAGACACGCAAACAAGTTGCAAATTGCTCTGTAGAGGGGACGTTTTCGCTAAATACCTATAAAAATGTCTCCTCACTGTAAAATATTGTAACTAACGGTGTGCTCTGAATCTTCGGCGATAGCGGTGATGGTATCTAATGGTATTTGTCTGAGGGAATTTTATATAAAGGTTCTGGATGAGTATCTCTGGCCTTCTTGCGTTTCTGTCAGCAAGCTTTGTCATGGGTAATAGTGATTTTTTTGTGACAAGACACCGGTTGTTGTCGTCTCTTTTAATCTCATTCGGTAACGATAACGTCACTATGGATAGATTCGTTTACCACTTCTCTAAAGGTGCAGGATCTGTTTCGATAACTTGTGTAATTTAGCTTATCACAGATGGTCTCGAAGTCTTCTGAGACAGACAAACCTGGCTAGAGTAAACACTTCTATGGATGAAGAAGCGCGGAATAATCCGTAGCTCTAATTAGCAATAAGTGCCTTTACCATTCTGTCGAGTTTCCTTCAAAGTTTATTGAACTGCGCGAGTTTCAGTCGGTAGCCGTGTGCCACCTGTCACTTGTCCCAGCACCCTGTAAGCTCGAGCGCTGTATAAATTGCAGCACTTCCCACATTTGGATGGCTCATTTCGGTCGGTTTGCCGCCCAGAGATACTTTACAGCCGTTGAAATGTAAAATATCGTTTCATCTTATCTACTTTATTAGCTGAGAATGACTATGGAAAGAAACCTGCTTTATAAGACGTCGCAATAAAGTATTTCTAATGGTAACTATGTCTCCATTAGTTGCAATTGCGAGGGAGTTCTTTGTTACGGAGCTATTTGGTAGATAATGGTATATTGTTTACAGCGGTGTAAGGTGGCAGACCGCGTTTGGAATATAAGAGCAATCAATTTTATAATCACACCATCCGTTAACTCTCCATTGCTGAACATAGACGTCCCACATAACAAGCGTTTTGCCGCAGTTATCGCACTTGGTAAGCATGTTGGCAACCGCAGTTTTTTTTTTGATGGGTGATAATGGAATGGTATCCCCACCCGCGCTATCGGTATACTTCGGCGGGGCACCAGTGAAGAATGATAGATGAGGATGAAGCCGGTCAGTTAGTCCATCGTGACGAATTCAACAAGAATTGTTCACGATGGTTTCCAGGTGGAACCACGTGGAGGTCGACCTAATAGGGCATATTGCTAGCAATGGGGCTGTCAAACTCCATTGCTAACAATCCCTTTCCCCCCTGGCAACCGCAGTTAGGCTTTGGTGATATTTTAAGAAGGACGTTGCTAGCTATCCTTCGGTTATTAAGTTTCCTTACAAGACCCACGGGAAAGGAAAGAATAAACGTAGTGAAGATCAGGCTACGAGATGTAGAAAGTGTTACATCAAAGGATAACAAAACAGATATGTTATGCGAGTGTAGAAGCACCAGATATTGGAGAAAACTTACTCAGATCAAGTAGATCTCATGTTGTCTAAGAGAAAAGTTAAGAGCATCTGAAATAAGCTACTTGCTTATGATAGGATTTGTGAAAATGCATGAAGCAAGAGATGTGTAAGGATGAATGCCTTTGTAATTTGCTACTCTTTTATTTTCTATCTTTTTTTGTAAGAGAAGACATAAAGATAGGAATCATTATAAAAATGGCAAAGTATATGCATGTCTTTTTTTGGTTGCATGTATTATTCAAGTTAACTTTATATACAAGAAGATGTGTTATTATAAATATTTATAAAGATCGACTGATATACAAAAATATTTGAAAATCGAATTTAATTTAGGCGCGAAATTATCCAACAGTAACAAAGAGCGGTATATCACAGACACAACTGCATTAGTACGCGGCTAAATCGCGCACTCTTAATCGCCCAGTGCAATCGTATATTTCTTGATTAAGAGCTCGTAAAAATGTCGTCTCGCTCTGAGTTATGGTCTGCGAGCAGGAGAGGAGATTAGCCGGTGGTTTGTACCACATACAGCTGTGATGTATGGTGATGGATTTAGCATTAACGATTGCAGATAGAAAAAAACAATTAATTGACTGAGTGATACGCAAAATTTTGGCCTTATTACCAAATTTATGAACTAGAAATCTTCTTGAAGGTCTCAGCCGAGCTGTCTAGATTTTTATATTTTTTAATCTTCTCCATTCTCCTCCAATATCTGAATCTATTTGTTCATCGTTTGTAAAAAGAACTTTATATTTTTATCTGACATACACAATTTATTCTATCCTTTTTTATTATTATTTTTGTTTTAGTTTCGCGGTGGCTTTAGGCCGAAACAGAATATCAGTGTTTTGCTATTTTGAGGGCAAAGCAATAAACTGAGTTGCGACCATTTTGTGTTACTATGGCACACTCATGAAAGGAATCATCGGTTTTCACCCCAATTTTCGCTGTCCACCCCCAAGTGTGATATATCATAAGTCGTGTCTCGCCGTCCTCTATCCATCGTCGCACCTTTCATACGTCTCGCTTTCACTCGCCCATACAACCGACTTTGAAAAACGTGAATTTTTCACGTTTTTCCCGCATAACTTTCGAATTTTCCTCCCGCGCCTGTCCCGATTCTTTCGTTTCTGCCATCTACCCGTCGCCCCGCGTCCGACGAGCCCACTCTCGGTCCGATCGGAGCAACTTTCCCCACCTAAATCACACATTGTCTCATCAAAATATTAAAATCGAATTTTTTTCACAGTTTTTCGTACCTAACTCAAAATTTTTGTTCTCCTCCTATACAGTTTCTCGACGTCATCGTTAAAATCAGATTTTTCCGCGTCTTTTGACATACAACACACCTACCTACTTGCCACGGATCCAAAGTTCACTTTCGAACCGAGGTTACTTGGTGAGTACTCGCGAAACACAAATCATCGGTTTTCACCCCAATTTTCGCTGTCCACCCCCAAGTGTGATATATCATAAGTCGTGTCTCGCCGTCCTCTATCCATCGTCGCACCTTTCATACGTCTCGCTTTCACTCGCCCATACAACCGACTTTGAAAAACGTGAATTTTTCACGTTTTTCCCGCATAACTTTCGAATTTTCCTCCCGCGCCTGTCCCGATTATTTCGTTTCTGCCATCTACCCGTCGCCCCGCGTCCGACGAGCCCACTCTCGGTCCGATCGGAGCAACTTTCCCCACCTAAATCACACATTGTCTCATCAAAATATTAAAATCGAATTTTTTTTTCACAGTTTTTCGTACCTAACTCAAAATTTTTGTTCTCCCCCTATACAGTTTCTCGACGTCATCGTTAAAATCAGATTTTTCCGCGTCTTTTGACATACAACACACCTACCTACTTGCCACGGATCCAAAGTTCACTTTCGAACCGAGGTTACTTGGTGAGTACTCGCGAAACACAAATCATCGGTTTTCACCCCAATTTTCGCTGTCCACCCCCAAGTGTGATATATCATAAGTCGTGTCTCGCCGTCCTCTATCCATCGTCGCACCTTTCATACGTCTCGCTTTCACTCGCCCATACAACCGACTTTGAAAAACGTGAATTTTTCACGTTTTTCCCGCATAACTTTCGAATTTTCCTCCCGCGCCTGTCCCGATTCTTTCGTTTCTGCCATCTACCCGTCGCCCCGCGTCCGACGAGCCCACTCTCGGTCCGATCGGAGCAACTTTCCCCACCTAAATCACACATTGTCTCATCAAAATATTAAAATCGAATTTTTTTCACAGTTTTTCGTACCTAACTCAAAATTTTTGTTCTCCCCCTATACAGTTTCTCGACGTCATCGTTAAAATCAGATTTTTCCGCGTCTTTTGACATACAACACACCTACCTACTTGCCACGGATCCAAAGTTCACTTTCGAACCGAGGTTACTTGGTGAGTACTCGCGAAACACAAATCATCGGTTTTCACCCCAATTTTCGCTGTCCACCCCCAAGTGTGATATATCATAAGTCGTGTCTCGCCGTCCTCTATCCATCGTCGCACCTTTCATACGTCTCGCTTTCACTCGCCCATACAACTGACTTTGAAAAACGTGAATTTTTCACGTTTTTCCCGCATAACTTTCGAATTTTCCTCCCGCGCCTGTCCCGATTCTTTCGTTTCTGCCATCTACCCGTCGCCCCGCGTCCGACGAGCCCACTCTCGGTCCGATCGGAGCAACTTTCGGATAGTTGTCATTACTTAGGAAGGCTTACTGCCGTTAGATTCAGAAACAAAGTTAAATTTCTTTTTAAATTAAGAACCGCTACCGTAATTGTATTCAACTAGATAGAAAATGCCGTTAGCACGGTCCCCGCCCAGGAGGCCGGTTAATTTGCCTTCCGAGGCGGCCGAGGCGCGGAAAGCGGAGGCCTCAGTCGCGCGGTCATCACCACCTCCGTCGAGCTCTTCATCTACCGATTTCTTACCGACCTGGAGACCGATAGTGGATTTCAACCCCGCAACTGACAGCCCTGACGCATCTCAGGCAACCGATATTACCGATAGCCAGGAACAAACGCCGATGTCTCCACTCGACATTGGCACTCTCATCCAAGAATCATTGGGTAAAATCAAGGACAACCTCACAGCTATATCTACAAAAGTCTACGAGGGGACCTATCTCTCCAGAGTAAACAAAGATAGGATCAACTCCACAGCTCTCGGCTCTATCAAAGAAGTCGAAAACATTCAGACCCTACTTGGAACACTGCTCAGTTTACCGTCTCCTCTTGCTAGGCCGGATACCACCCTCGAAACTACTATTCGTACCGACCAAACTGACGCATCAGTCGCCACAGAAATAGAAACGCTAAAGAGCGACATCGCCGAAATCAAGGCCCTGCTCACCTCCAGACCTAAGACCACCTATGCGGCGGCAGCGGCGGCAACCAGGAAGCCAGCAACGACGCTGCGAGCACCTGTGAACAAACCAGTCCGAAAGTATAGACCGGCAATCATAGTCGAGTCGAAAAACGAAGTCAAAAGCAGCGAAGAGACTCACCAAAAATGGCGACAGGCCGTCTCTTTTAGGGACACCAACTTCACCCCTGCCAACGTTAAATATGTGTCGAACAATAAGATCAGGGTAGAATTCGACACCCAGCAGGAACTGGACACAGCCATAGAGAAGGTAAACAAGCCCACCTCCTCCGTGAGTGCGGTCATCGCCAGGAAACTCAACCCTATGTTCATCCTGAAAGGTATATCTAACAGTACACCCGTGGAAGAACTGACCGACATTATCACCACACAGAACGATTGCGTGAAGGAAGCGACTACTCCCGACGCTACAACCGGAGATATCAAATTCGCATTCAAACGAGGCAACAGAAACCCTCGCCTTTACAACGCGGTGTTCACCGCCTCCCCTCGCCTGTACAAATCCATCGTCGACGCCCACCACATTAACATCGATCACCAGCGGGTACACGTGGAAGCGTACACCCCGCTTCTCCAATGCTTCAAGTGCTTGAGGTTCGGGCACTCTAGGAAAAAGTGCACTTATGAAAATACAATTTGCTCCCATTGCTCCTCCAGCGGTCACCAGTACCGAGACTGCCCACACAAAGCAGACTCTAGCCAGGCCAAATGCTACAATTGCGCCCAACGGAAATCCGCAGCCGACTCCTCCAAACAATCCACCCACTCGCACAGCGCCACATCCTCCTCGTGCCCTCAGGTGGTACGAATGATGAATTTAATTAGAGAAAGGACAGATTATGGCCACTAGACACAAAGATAATAGCAACCGGCATCGCCACCAAACACGCCAGCAACGCAGACATAGAAATCCACACGCTTTAAGGTTCCTTCAAGCCAATCTAGGCAAAGGATTCCAAGCTCAGCACGAATTCTTCCAGTATTTTCATAACAACGACTACCAAATCGCACTCATAAACGAACCCTACACCGGCTCTGGAACCACTGTCACAAACACTCACGGACACGACGTTTACCAGTACACCGATGGCAGCCGTGTCAAAGCTTGCATAGTGGTCAAAAAAGGAAACATCTCTACTATCGGAATGAGGCAGCATTCCAGCCCTAATCTGTGCTCGATCAGAATCAACCTCAACGGTGCGAAAGTCTATGTCACGTGCATCTACCTCGAACCCCGGATAAGCGGGGCGGCTGCGGCCGCACAAAACTGCATCGTCGACCGAACACTCCATGATCTAGAGGAATTTGTTCAAGCCGACCCTGACGCCGCTCACATCATCGGAGGGGATCTCAACGGATGGCACCCCATGTGGGGCTCTCCTAGAGCTAACCGTCGAGGTAATGAGATCGCCGAGTTTATAATGACGTCCAACCTGATTGTGTGCAACACGGGTGTCTCCCCCACCTTCGTCTCGACAACATCCGGTGCAGTTCGAGAGTCAATAATAGACATCACTCTGGCCTCTGGCCGGGCTGCGGACAGAATATCCAATTGGAGGGTCAATCCCGACGCATGTCCAGCATCAGACCATCATGCGGTGGAATTCTTCTATGATGTCAACAAACGCGATTTGAACCGCCATGCAAAACTCACCACTTTCAAATACGCCACCGCGGGGGTCTCTTGGAGTGAGTTCAAGGACAGGCTCGACGAGCTACTCCCTGCGGAATTAAAAGAATACACTGACATCCCAACCATGAACTCAATGGAATTGGAGAACTTCATAGAGGAATTGACAACTGCAGTTCAAACCGCATGCGATCAACTGCTTCCTTGCACCCAACCCCGCACTGCCAGGTGTCCGTGGTGGAGCGAGGAGTTGGAAAGCAGCAAAAGGAAAGTCATCCGGCAACACCACAAATTAATTAGGCTGAAACGGCAAGGCAGACCCCTGGAAGAGGCTATAGCGGTCAAGAACTCCCTACGTGCGGAATACTCCAAACTATTTAATGAAAGCTCCACCAGGCACTTCCGGGAATTTTGCAACCGGCAGGGAAAGGAAGACGTCTGGTCCGTCACTAACCGGATCGTCAAAACGCGTCCCTGCCCGCAGCCCCCATCCACTGTCCAGAAAGCTGATGGCTCATTCACCCGCAATCCACAGGAAACCGCAGAGGTGTTACTCGACAAATACTTTCCGGATGACACTGCGGACACTAGGCAGTCGCATCTCAAATATCGGCAGGCGAGAGAGTCACCGCCCCCCATTAACCGAGACGAGCCCCCGTTCACGAAAGAGGAAACACTACTGGCGGCCAGGGAGATGAACCCGAAGAAGGCACCTGGACCGGACCATCTGACCGCTGACATTGTTCTAGCAGTCACTGAATCCCTCCCCGAGGTCGTCACAGCGATCATGAACAGATGCCTCACGATCGGCTACTTTCCTAAAGTATGGAAAGTGGCCCGTATAAAACTCATTCCGAAGAACGGGCAGGGCAACGGCAACGCCGAACAACCTAAATCGCGTCCAATAGGTCTCCTCAATAACATGGGCAAGCTTCTAGAAAAACTCATCACCCGACGTCTCACTCACCACATCCACACGACCAACGCCAACAATACCCAGCAATATGGGTTCAAGCCTCAGGTCTCTACCGCCCACGCCCTCGACAACGCCATTAACCATATAAAAGCCGCCTCTACAGCACGAGACCAGGTCCTAGCCGTGTCGTTGGACATCAAGGCAGCATTCGACCATGCTTGGTGGCCTATTATACTCAGCAGACTCCGACATATCAAGTGTCCGCGCAACTTATACTGCATTTTGGACAATTACCTGAAGGACCGTTGGGTAACATTGAATCTGGCCGATGTCACGGCAGCCAAACCACTGTCCAGAGGCTGCATCCAAGGTTCAGTCTGTGGCCCGACCATGTGGAATCTGGTCCTGGACGAGCTGTTCGATCTGCATCTGCCGGAGGGGTGTCATCTTCAGGCCTTTGCAGATGACGTCCTGCTGATTGTGCGTTCGGACTGCTCCTCCAGGCTGGAACAAACCACAAATGAAGCCCTCAACATAATCCACCAATGGGGTCTCGACTCCAAATTAACATTCGGTCCATCGAAGACCGTCGCCGTCCCATTTACCAGCCGGGCTCGCAAGTGCCGTTTATACATGGACGGGCAGCCTATTCCTCTCTGCAACCAGATGAAACTACTCGGAGTAATCATCGACAGGAAACTCAAATTCGTCAACCACGTCAATTACGTCATAGATAAATGCAAAAAATTGTACAACAAACTCATCCGTTTCATCCGTCCCACCTGGGGAATAAACCCACATAACGTTAAGACTCTTTACCTTCAAGTTATCGAACCCATCCTTTGTTATGCATCCTCTATCTGGAGTACAGCCCTCAAATATAAATACTGTCGAGACAAACTCGTGGCTCTGCAGAGAGGAGTAGCCATCACCATCATAAGAGGCTTCAGAACCCTAAGCTCTCCCGCGGCAATCACGCTGGCCGGATTATTTCCCGTATGCGGGAGAATCAGGGCGGCGGCGCAATCCGAGTCGGCCCGCATCAAGAAGGTCACCGACGCGCTCCCGCATGACATCCCACTGGACTCACCTGCACCTCCTTCGGACCTCTTACACCCCAGCCTGCGCCGAGGCATCACTTACCAGGAAGCACACACCGTCGAACAAGTCACTGAACTTCTAAACACAGACTCCTACTCCTGCTACACTGACGGGAGTAAGCACGAACGTGGAGTCGGCGCCGCTGTGATCATCCGAAGCCCAGGCGGGGCAACTATCGCTACCAAGAAACTCAAACTTCACGGAGCGTGCTCGGTCTTCCAGGCGGAGATGGTCGCCATCGACCGGGCCTGCGAACACATCCTGCATAACAATCTCACACCTGCAACTGTCCTGCAACAGACAGCATGTCGTCCCTTCTGGAACTTGCCAACCCAAACAGTACCAATCATTTAGCCAACAGCACTCTCCATACCTTGCACAAAGCCAAACTTAAAGGACTACAGATATCATTCATATGGACCCGTTCGCACATTGGGATACCCGGGAACGAAGAGGCAGATCTGGCGGCAAAGGCGGCCGCAAATTCCCGAACAGCTCCAATGTTTGCCAAATTTCCGCTTAGCTACACGAAACATCACTATCTGAAACAAAGCAGCGAAGAGCTTCAGGAGCTATACAACGACGCCAACAACTGTCAACAGATAAAACAGTGGTGTCCGAACTACGACGTTCTTTCCAAAGTTATTCAAGTGCTACCCCCTGACTTCCATTTCACACAATTCTATACAGGACACGGATATCATAAAGCTTACCTTAAACGTTTCGGGATCATCCCTGAGGACAAATGCCCATGCAACGCCGACCTCCAGCAAACCATGGATCACCTCATCCGGGCCTGCCCAAGGTTCGACTCCACCAGACTCGACCATGAGACCGCTTGCCGAATGGCCGGCGTCGCCGACCCATACAACTTACTAGAGATCATCGGAAAAGAATCCACTGTGCATAGCTTCAAAACACACATCAGATGCATTATCAACAACGCCAAGTCTTTTAACCGAACCTAACACATCTGTGTTGGGCAAGGTTAAAGCACTGTATAAATATATATAAATACATATTTATTTACGTATATGCAAATATATATATATATATATATATATCTATATACTATACATATAAAATAAATAGATGTACATATAAAACTATATAAATATATATATACAATACTCATCCTCTTCATAAACTCTCAAATCTTCTCCAAAATTTTCTATCAACTCCATCAACTGCCAACCTGCAAATTGTAAACCTCACCATGACAACTCATCAACTCATCGTCCATCAATCCGCATTAGAAAGATCATGCTCTCAGTACCCACTAAATGTTGAAGCCCAAATCCATCATCCATATTATAAGTTAACCAGCTGCAAACCTTGGCATATGCGAGCGTACACCAAAAGCGCAAACGCAAGTGCTTGGGAACTCAAATCCAGTACATAGCACAAAAAAAAAAAAAAAAAACTCATGAAAGGAAAAAAATATATTATTTCTTTTATGTATTTTGCTTTTTTTGTGTATGTCTTTTTGTATGTATGACATAGATGTCTTTGTGTGTTGTAAGTAATGCAAATAAATTATACATCTATTTATCTATCATTATTTCCACATTTTTTTATACAACTTAGAATGGCATACAAGCTGACGGCCCATCTGATGGAAAGTGGTAACCGTCGCCTATAGACATGAGCAAGTACCATGGATATAACAGAGTATACTGTTTCGCCCACGATATCCCCCATGCGTTGCCATTCCTGAAGACTTAGGTGTTATTCCTCTGTACCGTGTAAATTCACGCCATATCCCACCCTTCAAACCGAAACACAGCCATGCAAACAACTGCTTCACGGTAGAAACACGAATGGGACAGAGGTACCCAAGTAATCGACTTTTGTACAAAGTCTCCCTCTGGTGACTATCTAGTCATGTTAAACCACATAATTATTATTTGTGGTAAAAAACATAAAGCTTAAAGTTTACTAAGCCCATTACTTGAAAGTAATGTTCCAATGCGTATTATACTCAAAGAGATTTGCTAAGCCACTCTGGCCGAGTGCAGTAGCTCAGGGTAGCCGGTTACCTGTCCCGGGCTTGTAATATACGAGTACAGCTACACACGGGCTGCAACATATTACTTTCCCCCATTACCTTGGACATTGTGCACTTGTCCAGCAATTTATTGCTCGCTTTATTGCAACGTTCATAACTGGAAATAATGGAAGAATTAGCCAGCTATGTAATTGCATTATTTCGATTATAAATTCTGTTTACAAGACTAATACTACATATACATACGTACACGTGTTTAATGATAACTTGTATGAAGATATCGACATGTTTAATATATAAGGTTTTATTTATTTATTTATTCTTTATTGCACAATAAAATTTTGTACAAATGGCGAGCTTAATGCCATATGGCATTCTCTACCAGCTAACCATTGGGTAAAAACAGTTAGGTTTTCAAAGTTTTTATGCTTTAAATTTGACAGTTTGGGTAAAAGGTTACAAAAGAAGTTTAGCTATCATAGCTAATAGAGATCAGTGGAAAGATATGAGTAAATATATATATATATATATATATATATATATATATATATATATATATATATATATATATATATATATATATATATATATATACTCGGTAAATGCTATCGATATTTATATGAATGAATAATAATCAGAAAAAAAGATAAAAGTAAGACAATAATCCTGCATATTACAGAATCAAATGAAGCATATTCACTTTAAAATAACTGTAAGCCCATGACTGTATATTTTTATGTGCAATAAATCTTTTATTTTATTATTATTATTATTATATAAATTGGTGTTATTTTGCGGAAATCTATACCACTGGTTAGCTGATTAGAATTATATTGTTTAATTCCGCTACTATTAGTCAATCTTAGAGTGTTAGCCGTCGCATCCATAATAATGGCAGCGGAATTATTTATCATTTTTTTTTATACATCTTAGAATGGCAAACAAGCTAACGGCTAACCTGATGGAAAGTGGTAACCGTCGCCTATAGACATGAGCAGTACCATGGACATAACAGAGTATACTGTTTCGTCCATGATACCCCCCATGCGTTGCCATTCCTGAGGACTCAAGTGTTATTCCTCTGTACCCATTTAATTCAAATTAAACAAAATAATTCTAATCAACTAATTAGTATTTATTTATTTCTAAATTTAAGACATTTAATTGTCTATTTAGCTCAATTAGTGAATGCCCTATAGACGACGTACTCCAAAATGATACCACTTCTATAGTTTCTCTAGTGCTTTATATTTACTTACATATTAAATTTAAAGTTATTAAACATTAAGAGATACAAAAATGGTATATCAAAATAAAAAAATCTTTTTCTTTTTTTTTATATATATAACATATATCACTTATTTCCAGCCATTATCACCCTATATTTTAGTTTCAGTGTTTCTTTCATAAATTTATATTATATATTACATATAATAAAAGGAGGTAGACTTAAATGGAATTGGACTGGACATCTAACGATAACTAACAAAAAATGGATGAAGGATGTAATAGAATGGTATCCGAGGAATGGGTAAAGACAACGAGGAGGGAAAATCAAAAGATGGGAGAATGATTTACTTAAAGGATGGAGCAGATCAGCCTGAGATAGAGGGATGTGGAAGCAAACAATTGGGGAAGGGGCTTATGGCGACAGACAACTTGACCAACGCTGCTTGTGGTTGCTAGTAAGCGAGCCAGTTATAAGTTTCTATTTTATTTTAATGTTATTGCTAATAAGATGTACACTTTGTTTTATCAGTATAGTATGTAAGTTTAAAATTGTGGTCAGCGAATAAAGCCTTTATTATTATTATGAATATAAATAAAAGAAAAAAAAAATTATTGACTGACAAATTATTTATAGGTCCGGAAAGGTTAAAGTTAAGTAACAGGCGAATTCCCGCTGCAAACGTTTCCAAACGGCAAACACATACACTCTCTTTTGCATAATTTTACTTCTAATATATTCATATAACAATGCACTTAATATAATGCGCATGTAAACAATTTTAGTGAAATTATTTGTCTCCACAATTCAAAATAAATATAAAAACAGCGGCACTCCGGAAGTGCCGACAGAAGTGAAAACTTGGACAATTACGTGTGTTATTTTTGAATAATCAAAAATGTTTTATCCTATTGTTTAGTTCAATGGTTTTATCTCATCTCAAAAAATGCCAGTATGTGTGTGTATCTATATACGTACATACACAATATACGTACGAGTATATACTTACAAACATAGGTGTTGGTTACAGTAACGGTAACAGCGTTGCGAGTTCAATGGTTTTTCTCATTTCAAAAAATGCCCAACGGCCCTATTGAAATTTTCACTTCAAAAATTATAATATTTTTATTTTTAATTACATATGTAAAAAAACCAAATACAATATTAAGTATTTTATAAAAATAATATAAATTTTAGATCACACATGTAGTAAGTTAATAAATAAAATTTATACCGGTTTAAATTTATCACAAAACGACAGCCATTCCTTTTGGAGCCGGCGAAAATCACATCTGAGCATCGCGCGTCGTAAAAATGAAATCGTCGGCCGGTCAGAGGAGTGACGGATCGCCGCGCCCCGCCGGCATATTTCAGCGGGCGCTCCATCCCTTCCGTTAGTGTCTACTAAATTTATGGCCGTCGGGGAAAAAAATGTGGACTCCTCTGAAGAAAATTTCACTGGTTTTATTCTAGCAATATATTTTATTCGTTGGAAATGACGCGTCGGGCGCTATGGCTCGATGACTTGGTTATTAGTCTTGTTGGATATAATGGTTTCGGGGCTTTTGTGTATTTAACGGTGTACGAGATCTTAGTAGATGGTTTATATATAGGGTTTTGATTTTTTTTTATTCAACTTAGAATGGTAAACAAGCTGACGGCCCACCTGATGGAAAGTGGTAACCGACGCCTATAGACATGAGCAGTAACATAGACAAAACAGAGTATACTGTTTCGCCCATGATAGCACCCATGTGTTGCCATTCCTGAGGACTCAGGTCTTATTCCTCTGTACCTTGTAAATTCACGTCATATCCCACCCTTCAAACCGACCCACCAACCCTTCAACCTTTAACTTATTTATTTATTTAACCATAAACAAAAATAGACAGTGACAAACTTAGCAAATTTTAATTGCCTTTTCAATTCCATAACTTTGTTTATTTCTATAAAACATGTACTCCATAATAATTTACTGCAGTATTCTTGAAGAGATCAGTTTTTACCTAACAAGTTTACCGTACCAGTATAATAGAATACTCAAATTTATTTATAAAAATTGTTCACCGAAAATACAAATTTTCTAGAGATGTGTATTAAAATACTATACATAATAAGATATTAAATGTATTTTAATAAAAATATGTACAACAATCTCATCTTTATGGAACATATTGTCTATAAAGTCACTCACATTATTCATACTCACTGCAACAAATGATCATGTGACGTCAAAATACAGGGTGTCACAGAAATATGTATAAAGTTGCCGTGGCATGGCGTGGCGTGGCGTGACGTGGCGTGGCGTGGCGCGGCGTGGCCGTGGAGCGAGGTGTCAGCGGGCCGCGGCCGGCGTGTTTTATGAAGGAAGTTGTTCATCACGCGATAAATCTCCCGGACGCCTTCGGAGACTGTTACGAGGCTCGCGTATTGGGCACCCTTGTTAGACCGACTACAAAAAGAATGACATTTAAATTTGATTGTATATTTTATATGTAATATACACATACACCACACAGTACACACACATGCACACCAATGGTTATGTTGCCATTGGTGTGTATGTGTGTGTGGATGGGTTAATAATAGAATAATTATAACAATATAATGGCTTTATCGATTTTGATGATCCTTTTTTGTTCAAAATCATTCAATGTAATGTTATATTTTTTATAAATTGGTATATTCGATCCACTGAAACTGCATAGAGATGTTGCATCTCTGTGCATCTT